TATATATATATATATATATATATATAATATTATTTTGGGAATATTACACACACGCACACACACTCTCTTATTTATATATACTGTATTTGTTTGTTTATTATTTGTTTGTTATAATACGACCTGGACTTATTTATTTATTTATAATATGACCTGGGCATTTATTCTTTTTTAAATTTTTATTAATTAATATTTTATTGCATATTTTTGTGCTCGGTGTGATCCACTTTTAGTCTCTAGAATCTTGGGGTTGGCAGTTATATTATGTAAATAAATAAATGAATAAATATTGATTTCTTAATATAAATATGTGTGTATGTGTATATGTAAATATAATTCAGTGAATACTTTACAAACGAAAATTTTCCTTTTTATTTTTATTTGTTTGGTTTGTTGGACACAAACTCCCCTAACAGTCAAAGTGATATTATAAGGCGTATGTATTATGAAGTGTTTCTGTGATATGAAGCTGCTCGAGCTGCAGCTCATGAGAAACTCCTCAGGTTGAATCTTTGATGCTTTGTGAATAAATGAGGCTCTCGGAGGCTTTCCGACAGTGACACAAACCTTTTTATAGTCCTTAAGACACCGGTAGCAGAGGCGTGCTGAGAGACTCACATGCTAGCGCTAACCATCAGCCAATCAAACATCCCAGAATATCCCGAGGACAAACAGAGCAGAGCAGAGCCTTCAAACTAGGGTGGACTAGGGTGTTCTGGGTGGTTGTTAGAATGTTGCTCTGGTTGTTAGGACATTATTAGGGTGTTCTGTTAGCTAGGATGTTGCTAGGCTGTTCTGGGTGGTTGCTAGGATGTTGATAGGGTGTTCTGGTTTTTAGGACATTAGTAGGGTGTTCTGGTTGCTGGGATGTTGCCAGGCAGTTCTGGGGGGTTGCTAAGATGTTGCTAGGGTGTTCTGGTTGTTAGGACATTACTAGGGTGTTCTGGTTGCTAGGATGTTGCTAGGCAGTTCTGGGTGGTTGCTAGGGAGTTGCTAGGCTGTTCTGGATGGTTGCTAGGGTGTTCTGGTTGTTAGGACATTACTAGGGTGTTCTGGTTGCTAGGATGTTGCTAGGCAGTTCTGGGTGGTTGCTAGGGAGTTGCTAGGCTGTTCTGGGTGGTTGCTAGGGTGTTGTGGGTGGTTGCTAGGGTGTTGCTAGGCTCTTCTGGGTGGTTGCTAGGGTGTTGCTAGGCTGTTCTGGGTTGTTGCTAGGGCGTTGTGGGTGGTTGCTAGGATGTTGCTAGGCTGTTGTGGGTGGTTGCTAGGATGTTGCTAGGCTGTTGCTGGAGAAACACTGTTTTAAATTTGTTTTTTCTGACTCCATCGGCAGATATTTGTTCTTGTTTTAATCATAAGCTCACTTCATTTTGATCAGTTTCTCAGGAAACAAGACTTCTTATCTTCTGTCATTTTGCTTCTCCAGTAAATGAATCTTGATTTATGAATCTCTAGAGAGCAAGTTTTGCGCTGATCCCATAGTGTCGTTGCAAACCACAGCAAACACTGACTGAAGTCTCAGCCGCTCACAGGCTGTTATTTCATTAATGTATTAATTAGAGCCCACAGATCTGATGCATCATGGGAGAACAGCGCTACGGTTATGATGATGATGATGGGAATGCAAACCCCCAGAAAGTGGAGTCTGAGAGATGAGGAATAGTTCAGATCCTCCTCTGCCTGTTACGCAATCAAGAGTCTTACATAAACATCTTCAGTTAACGACATCTGAAACACAGAAACCTCAGCGGCTACACTTTAAACGCACACAAACTCTCTCTCTTGGTAGTCCATCGTATCCGATGATGACCTTCCTCCTTATTTGCAGTGTATCCTTTGATGACTATAGAACCCTATCCTTGATCCGCAAATTTTATTACAAGATGGGCAAATAAAGTCAGAGTTTGTAGGGGCATGGCTGTGTGTCTCCTTAGTCTTTTTTGTTGTTTCCTTTTATTTCTCTCTGTTTCCAGCTGCACTATTCCTGCTTGACAGAGCTGCTTCCAGGTGGTGCGATTTGCTGCTAATTCTTCCAGGCATGAGGGATTCATTTGGCACTTTCTTAACGATGTTTTAAGTATATCACTTTTTTGGACCCCCGAGGAACGGTGAACCTGATGGACTTTACTAGGGTGTTCTGGTTGCTAGGATGTTGCTAGGCCATTCTGGGTGGTTGCTAGGATGTTGCTAGGCAGTTCTGGGTGGTTGCTAGGCTGTTCTGGATAGTTGCTAGGATGTTGCTAGACTGTTGTGGGTGGTTGCTAGGATGTTGCTAGACTGTTGTGGGTGGTTGCTAGGGTGTTGCTAGGCTGTTCTGGGTGGTCACTAGTGGTGCTCAGTGATTGTGGCTTCCATACCCTTACAGTTTGTCCTGGCAAGCACTTCAAAATGGGGTACACGGTCATAGCATGTAATCTCCAAAATTCGCTGCAAACACCCTATATGGAAATGCTCCAGCAACCTTAGGTGGCGGCTATATATAACCCAGGCTTCACAACTGTAAAGAAGAGTGGTGATGCAAACAGCTTTATAGATGGTAACTTTAGTAAGCAATTGAAGGTGCTTATTTTAAAGACCTTACGTCGAAGTCTGCCAAAGTCTACAGAGGCTTGCTTTATCCGATTTTCAATTTCGTCATCGAGATTGCAGTCCTCTGATACAATGCTGCCCAGATACCTAAAGGATGGCACTATTGTAAGTGGTTGTTTTTCTATGGTAATATGGTTGCAGAAAACCATATTTTCCTGCAATATGGAAAATATATATTGCAAATATCCAGCCACGCAATGGCTGGCCCTAACAGCTTCTTTATACTGTACAAACTGTATTATCTATCGCCCTACACCTAAACCTACCCCTTACAGAAAACTACTGGCAATTTTTGAATTTCATAAAACACCATTTTGTATGTTTTTTAAGCACTTTGTTTTACGGGGACACAGGAAGTGTCCTCATAAACTATGTTTACGTTGTAGTACCCATGTCATTATACACATTTGTGTCCTCATAAACCATATATACCAGCACACACACTCTCTCACACACACACACACACACACACACGGCCGCAGGAGCAGCGTTATGTTTTGCTGTCAACACAGGAATCAATCAGATCTCATCTCAATGTGACATCGCCCTGAACGATGGTGAAATGGGTGATGCTTTGTGTCCAAACACACACAGCTGGCGTCTGATCTCACTCAATCCTCTGAAAATCCACAAAAGAACAACAAAGACACAGGATAATTAGCAGAAATGAGAAACGAGGGAGTGTGAGAGAATGAGGGAGAGATGAGCACAGGGAGAGACGTATAGAGAAGTAGGGCGAGTGTTTGAGCGAGTGAGATCCATATGGACCCGCGGCACTCAGACAGACAAAGTGATAATTAAAAGAGTATAAATTTAGCTGCTGGTAACAGCTGGTGTGTGTGTGAGTGAGTGAGTGAGTGAGTGAGTGAGTGTGTGTGAGTGTGTGAGTGTGTGTGAGAGAGAGAGAGAGAGAAACACAAACACACTGCAGGTTTAAAGGCCAGAAACAAACACAGCTACACAATTATAAAAAGTTTGGTCGTTCTGTATGTACTCAACATGTGTGACCTTCAGACGTCTGTGACTATAAACCAAAAGAGCAAGATAACTTTTGTTTTTATTCATAAAAATGTTTTATTCATAAAAAAGGTGCTCTTATTTTCTGCATTTCTCTTCTGCTCTAGTGTGTACTATTCTAGTTTATGCTTCAATTTTGTTATTTTAAATATCATTGAGATACTGTTTTTGTTAATATTTTAAATTTGATTTTATTTTTGCATTCTCTGCTATTTTATTTTAGTTAGTTATTTTATTTTCATCTATGAATTTGTCATTCCCTGGTAATCAAACCCATGACCTAATGTTTATTTTATTTTATTTTATTTTATTTTATTTAAACAACTGTTCCTTAGTTCCAAGATGGTTTGGTGAGAAGTGTGTTTTTATTATGACAGGTGGTTATTTATATGCTATTATAGTATTTATGAATATTTTAAATTTGCTTTTATGTTGTATATTTTCAGTTATTTTATTTACATTTATGAATTTAGCATTCCCTGGGAATCGAAGCCATGACCTTGGTATTTCATCTAATGTTTATTTTATTGTATTTTATTATTTTATTTTGAGTCTGTTTGGACTGGAATCTTGTTCTACTTTGGCGTGATCTGTTCTTCTAGAGCGTGTCCTTCACGGAGGACGGTCACGTGAGCGTTATGAGGACATCCTCTCTGTCTGGAGTCACTGTTTCAATTAAAAACAGGATGCCGTTATTTCTGCTTTGTCCCTAAAGATGCTCTTTCAGACGCAGATGTCTCTCGCAGCCTCTGGGGTTTTCTACAAGCCTCTGCAAGACACAAAACCTCACAGAAGTTCCTCTCATTTAACAAGCCCTCACACCGGCTGCCCCCAAAACCTACTTTTCAGAAACACTGAGTGCTGCTTCTGGAGGTAATGAGGCATCGTTACCTGAATGATTTGTGTCCTGAAACAAACATGAAGGGGAGTTTGTGTTCACAAGGTCAGAGCTTCATCACGTGCTGCTTTACTCACGAGAATCATCTGCTGCTATTCAGACCTCAAGTGTGAAACAGTGTTGTTTTATACTGTTATAGTATTTATGAATAATCTGAATTTGCTTTTGTTTTGTATTTTCATGTATTTTTATTTTAGTATTTCAGATTAGTTGATTTTAGTATTTCAACTTATTTTATTTTAGTTAGCTGCCAATTTTCGTTTAAGTTTTCTTTTTTAAAGTATTTCAAAGTTTTTATTTTTTTGTATTTAATTTAATTTAATTTATGCATTTGGCATTCTTAGGGAATCAAACCCATGACCTTGGGTTCGACTAACCCCAATATTTCATCCAATATTTTTATTTTATTTTATGAAATGAAGTGAAATTAAATGAAATTGGTATTACATGGAAATCAAACTCATGACCTTGAGTTTGATCGACCCCAGTATTTCTTCCAATATTTTTTTATTTTTTTATTTTTTTTATTTGCCATTCTCTGGGAATCAAACCCATGACCTTGGGTTTGACTAACCCCAATATTTCATCCAATATTTTTATTTTATTTTACTTGAAATGAAATGAAATAAATTTGCCATTACCCATGACCTTGAGTTTGATTGACCAAGTTTAAATATTTCATCCAATTAAAAAAAAAAAAAATCTGACTGTCTCTCGTCAACTTCCAGATAATATGCGTGTAAAAATTGCAAATAGTGCAAATCTCAACATTCATCTTCAGATTTTTCAAGTTTCAATGATTCAAAATCTGTCCCTCAGATTCAGATCTACTCACTCTTGAGTTCTACAACAGTAACACCAGGACGATGAGTTCAGTTTCCAGGGAATATAACCTGAATTTAACCAGTCAGTGAGCACCGCCTTCTGTTTTTCAGGCTCTGATATTGTCCAGTGGATGCAGAAAAACCTGAACATTGAAGACCAAGGTACAGTAACATTTGAGATCATATTAACCTGTGAAACACTGTCTGTCTAGTGTCCTGAAATCACACTCGCAAACTCACGAGAGCCTACAGACAGAGAAGAGAGCCGCGTATCTCTCCTGTCAAATCAGCTGGTGTCGCCGCAAACCCGTTTACCGCGGTAAGCTCGTTAGGCAGCTGGCAGATCGTTCAGACCGTTTGTCATTATTCAATTACGAGGCGGTAAATAAACGGCTTGAGGAGGAAATCAAATGCTGGCATTTACATGCACTGAGCTTCATTGATTTCAGCTTGATTTGTTTTGAGCCCAGCGTGACCTTTTACATTCAAACAGACGAGTTCTAACAGGGAACGTTCTCAGAACATTGTGCCAAGGTTTTCTCAAATGTCCATCCAGTAACGTTAATAGAACATTTGTTCAGTGTTGTGTTAGCAACAAGATGTTAGCACAAAAATGTTATTAATACATTGTTCATGGAATGATTGACATTCAGCTTTTTTTTACATTAATGCTAGTTTTGGAATGTTCAAAGAAAAGTAACATTCTGAAAATCTGATTTGTCAAAAGTAACAAAGCAAAAGTAGTTTGCAAAATGATCAAATGGAACATTCCTGTGATGTTTTCTCTAACATTCAAATAGCCCAAAAAAATGTTTTGAACATTCAGAAATAACGTTTTCATAACTTAATACATTTACAAAACTTTCTAAGTAAGGTTATAGTTAACTGAAATGAAAACTAAACAACAATTTTTGTTGCTTGAAATAAAATAAACTTTAACTGAAATAAAATAAATAAATAATAAAATATAAGTAAATAAAATTTAAAAACTTAAACTTGAATTATTTAAACTAGTTGCCAAGGTAACATTTCTCATTTTCACTAATGAACTAATGAAAGTATACAGACATTAATAAAGCGAAAACTAATAAAAATGACAAAACAAACAACAAAATTACTGAAACTTTAATACATACACACACACACACACATATATATATATATATATGAGTGCTGTCAAACGATTAATCGCGATTAATCGCATCCAAAAATCGCGATTCAAAATAAAAGTTTTTGTTTACATAATATATGTGTGTGTACTGTGTATATTTATTATGTATATTATGTATATCACACATACATGTATATATTTAAGAAAAATATGTTATGTTTATATATTAAATATATTTATATATA